CCCAGCCAAAGTTACAGCAGTGTCACCAAGTTTGTGGAGAAAACAAGCTGTCAGCGTGAGGAACACTCACACGTTTATGCCCAGTGGTTCCAACATTTTTTATAGTATATTAAAATTGAAGCCAGTTGTGCTCAGGACTCTGCCTTTGCCTCTGGAAAGATCCCACTATGAACTCCAATTTAATATGTGACACTCAGATTTGTCCTTCTGGCCTCAAGGTCTGCCGTCAAGTGTCAAAGAGGTTGGTGAATCATTTCACATTTTCATTCTGTCTGACAGTATCAGTCTGAGGGGCCAAAATCGGTAAATTGCATTAACTGAATTATACATTTAGTGAAATGTATTATTCAACGATTAATTTATCACAGACGGTTTGTTGTTTCACTGAATATTAGACCCAGAATGAATTTTGGGGCGAGGTTTGTATACTTTGATAAATTAGTCCTATAAATTATTTCATGCTGCTCTGGAAATTTATTTTTAGCCCCCGATGCACTGGACAGGCTAATTGAGCAATTTTTGAGCTCTTTGTTCCATCAGCGGTCTTTCAGTCGGCCGCTCGCTCCCCTCTGTATCAAACTGGGCTGGGAGGCGTCCCGCTGTGCCCGGCAACACCAGACGTAAATGCCCACCTCTCGCCACAGCACTCCCCATCTTTGTCTGACCTTCTTTCTCTCTCTTTCTCCTTCACTTCCTTCTCGCTCTGACTGCTTCTGTAAAAAGACTCTGCAGGTCTGTCTTTCACCATTTTTTTTTCAGCTCAATTGTCTCTTGTCTAATGTTCTTCACACCATGCCATCGTCCACACCACTCTTTAAGGTATTAATTTACACACTGAAGGTACTAAAGGACAAAATGATTTCAAAACCACTTACACGGCAACCCCCCCACCCCCAGAAAAATAGAAAGACTTAAAGAAAAAAAAAGAAAGAAAAAAAGAGAAAAATCATTATTTTGCAACAGTCGACCTTAATGACTCACATTTCATTTGTGGATGATGCAGAGGGATTCACTGAGGTATGAAAATAAAAAAATAAATAAGCCACTACCGCAGCCGTATCATTTCAGTAGAGAACGTTTTAATGCTAACAATTAGACTTTGACTCAAGCCTAGGTCACATTTTCCTCAGACTATTGACGTTAGACACAGCTGCAGGTGTGCCAGTCAACCTTTCCGAACAAATGACTTCACCTCACGCTTCAGTGAAACTCCTTGCCACTTCAACAGTGTATTATAACAGCACACATACCATGTCAGCTGTTCTAGCACCAGGCCACGTCTACCAGCTTTTATTTAAGGTGTCGAGCCCCGCTGTGCACGCTGCTGCCTGCTGTTGACATCGATTCACTCTCAGCATGGACAAAAGT